GCACCTGAAGTTTTAAGAGGTCAACCTTATACTTTAGCTAGTGATATATATAGTTTTTCTATAATTATGTGGGAATTAATATCTGGAGTTCCTCCATTTGATAATGAAGCTCATGATTTTCAACTTAGTTTAGATATTTGTAAAGGTAAACGACCTAAAGATATTGAAAATATTCCACAATGTTATAAAAATTTAATGAAAAATTGTTGGAATGAAAATCCATTAAAAAGACCAACTACATTCGAAATTAAAAATATTATTGAAAGTTGGTATAATAATATTAAAAATAAAAATTTTGATAAAAAGTTAAAATATGAAATTATTGATTTTTATAAAGCAGATAAAATATTAAAACAAATACAACATAATAATATTATTAATGATAAAATTACTGTTAAATCACATTCACAGGCATATTATACTAGTCAATTACTTAATTTTACTGAAAAATTAAATGAAGTTTTGGATTTAAAAATTAGTCAAAATATTGGTAATTATTATATTATATTAAATTTATAAAATATATAAATATTAATATTACTAAATTTATTTAATTTAATAGAAACCTTAAATTTATAATATTTTAAATAAGTAATTTAAATTAAGTATTAAATTATTTTATAAATAGGTAAAAAATAATTTGTTTTATTTATATTTTATAAACATTAATTTAGTAACACTATATATAAAATATTTTTATTAAAAATATAATTTGTAATTGCTAAAATAAAATTTATATGTAATTAGAAACAATTTTTAATAATAAATATAATGTATTAATATATATTATAATTTATTAATTGTGAAAATTTTAATATTATTTATTATAAAATTAATATATAAATAATAAATAATATAAGTAAAGTTTCTTTAAAATTATTTATACTAAATTAAATATTTAAAATAAGTTAATTAGCAAAAATCTATTAAAAGTTATAATTCTTATAAAATATTTATTTATATTTTAATAATTAAAAATAAAAATGATTTTATAATTGATTTATAAAAATTTTCTAATTTGAAATGTTATAATACTTTTAAAATATAATAGTTATAAAATGATATAATTTTAATAATATGAATAAGTAGTATATAAGCATTTTAAAATATTTATACAAATTTAGAATTCTAATATTTTTTGTAATAGAGTTTATAATATCAAATTACACATGATTTAATACTTTTATTACTTTTATTATATAACAATGTTTATTATTTTTATTAAAAAATATTGTAAATGCATTATTAATATCTTTCTAATAAAACATTTTAGAGATTTATAAGAATTTTCATGATTTTTAAAGTTTAAATGAAATTGGTATATCAAAAAATCCAATAAATTTCTTATGACTTTCTTATCTACAATTTTAATTAATACTAAATTATTTAGTATTCAATTATTTGTAATTCTAGTATTATATTTAATAATACTTACTTAAGTTGACTTACTAATTTATTAGTAATCATAGAACATGTCCCCTAATTTTAAGGCTATTACTAAAAATATTTATATTAAAATAATTCTTTTATATAAAACTTAAAATTGGTATTTTAAATCTATTTTTTTTATAAAACAATATTTAGTATTAAATAAAATTATATATAATATTAAATTTTGAAAGCATTTAATAATGTATAAATAAAATTTAGATTTAATTTTTATATTTCATTTTAATAAATTCAATGTATTTATTATAAACTTCAAAATTTGGTATTAATAATTTTAAAATTATTTATATATAATGATAAATAAAAATTTTAAAACTTTTGAAGTTATGTAAGTTATGTGATCTCAAACATTACATATGTACAGTAAAATCTAAGTAATTCAATATTAACAATAATTTGTCTCTTATATTGCTTTCAATTAAGAGATCAATATCATATATATTGTTAATTTTTGTCAACATTTATTTATATGCAAATATTAAATTCTAATAGGTCTAAACTTTTAAAATTTTAGATCAAAATTATACTTTTTAAATATTAATTTATTAATGTTATCATAACAATAGTTTTAAATAATCTTCAGTTTGAAATAAAAAAATTTTCTTAATAATGCAGTAAATTTATGTTGATCTTTAAATTTCTTTATATAAAAGTCAAAATCAGTATTTTAAACCTATTCTTTACATATAAGTAAAGTTGTAGAGCTAATTAAATTAAACATAATATTTAAATTTAAGAAAATCAAATCCAGTAGTTTGATAAAATAGCATCCTAATGAGTTGAAATCTATAGAAAAAACGTCAATCCGTTGTTACGTCCGATTTGTAATTCAAATAAAATTCATAAATATTAATAATACTAAGACTAAACTCAGGAAATCACAACGAAGATTCGTAGTAAACGTCAAAGATTATTTTCAATTACACATGAATAACTTCTGGATATTTCAGAGATTATGTTTCAGTAATTACACATTAAGTCAATATAACGAATCAATATAATACCATGCAAAATTAATAAATAATAATAATATATATATAAGTTAAAGGATTGTGAAGGATAAGTTTTAACTTGGTTAATTATACACTTTATTAATAATATAATAAATTGTAAGTTCTCTACCTCGTAAAGTATTGAGACTTAGTGAAAATACAGTGATATTTATACATGTTTGATAATAATAAAATAAACTAAACTAAATAATACTATAAAAATAAAATGACATTGTTTAAGAAATAAAGTTGACAAAATTAATTAGCAAGAATGATCATGTCAATAAAGTTACCTGTTGCATTGGAATTAAAATTGACATTTGGATCTACAATGTTTCACATTAATTATCTTAGGACATAAAGTTGACATCAGGATCGATGAGATGATAAATAAGAACATTTAATTGATATAGGATTTGTAATCAGATTTTAGCCAAAATTTTACATTGTTACATTTTCCTTTTCTTTGATTTGAGTTCTGTTGAAAAATCTTTCTTTCTTCTTTTAATACGTTTGAATAAAGCTGATGAAGTAATTCCAAGTTATTGAACATACTCCTTTTGTGTTTTTTTTTTCCTAATAAGTTCTTTAGGAATTTCACTTTTAATGAGTTCTACTTCAGTGTTCTCTTGATAAACTTCATCTATTATGAAGATTAATTCTTCAGAATTAGTTTTTTCCCAAAGGTTGAGTATGATTAAAAGAAGTTTAGCTTCATTTTCTTCAATTATATGTCTTGTATTTTCAACTTTTTCAACTTCAGATTTGTATTTGTTGATAAAGTAATTCATTTGTTAGAAATTTTTAAAACTTATTTTTGTAAAATTTAAGGTTTTGACAAAAGGAATTTCAGGTCCTTTTTATACTTTTAATAGTATTTATTTCAAATAAATCACAGGATTCCAATTTTGTCGATCATTATAAATCTTCAATAAACTTGCGTTAATTGGTATTTAAAAATTCATCTGTTTGTAAATCTTAACTTATAAACTAAGCTCTATTTAATAATTTGTTATGAATATAAAATGGTCTTTTCCATTTATCTTCTAATTTTCCAATCCAAGTCTTTTCTTTTGCAGCTTCGTATAATAGGATTTGATCTCCTATTTAATATTCTATGGGTTTCTTTTTTTTTAAACTATGTTGTCTCTTTTGATTTTTCTGTGCTTTTGTAATATTTTCTTTTACTTTTTGTCAAATTATTTCTAAATCTTCTAAATTCGATTCCAAAGTTTCATTTTCAAAAATAGTGATTGAAAGCTTTACTTCTCTTCCATAAGCCAAGTAAAATAGTGTATACTTTGTAGTAGAATTTTTCACAGTCTAATAAGCAAATAATACTGAATTTATAACAGTATCCCATTCTTACAAATCTTTTATTATCTTTGCTATAGATTTAAACAAGGTTTTATTAAATCTCTTAACTAATCCATTAGTTTGAGAATAGTAAGATATAGATAATAAGTGCTTGATTTCAAACTTATTCATTAATCTGTCTACTATTTTGTTTCAAAAATGTGATCCTTGGTCAGATAGTATATATTTAGAATATTTATATTTTTATAAATGAATTCTACAACTGTGTTTGCATTAGCTGCAGGTTTTATACTCACTTCAGGCCATTTGGTTAAATAATCAGTTGTTACAATTATATATTTGTTTCCATTATTCGTAAGTGATAAAGGTCTTACGAAATCTATTTCAATTTTCTCAAAAGGTTTTCCAACTGATATAAGATATAATAACATTTTCTTTGAAAGTTTCCCTCTTTTTTGGCAAGAGTCACATCTAAAAATGGTTCCCATAATTATTTTTAAAATTTTTAACTAGTTGCAACTTAAGTTGCAATATTTTATAAATTTTTATATTAAAATAAATTTACAAGGAGTTGCAACTTACTGAGTTGCAACTTTTTAATTATGATACCCATCTTTAGTCACATCCTTTAATATAATTCCAAATATCTTTAAACATTTGCGGCTAATAAAAGGTTTCTCTAATTTTTTCAAAGACCTTTTTAATTTCTAAGTATCTTTCAGTCGATGATTGTGTATCACATAAAGAACTGTTTCTATTTCATAAATTTTTAGAACTTTAAGAAAGTTTCCTTTGTTTTCTTGTCTTTCTTAAACAATCAATTTTCTAAAATTACAAAATGTTTTGATTGTTGTTGAATCTGATTTGCTAATTTTTTATTACTTGGTAATATTGAAATAGTTAAATATTCTTTCAACTAATCATATTGATTTTCTTTTATTTTGTTTAACTTGAGTTGTCAATTACATTGTTGATACTTTCATTTTCACTCAGTAAAAATTTCTAAATGTGAGACTTACACTTACTAATTGCTATTCAACTAAGTGTTAACTCTTTAAAATAATAAAAAATATAAAAATAATATTAACTATTTAAAACTAAATAAATATTAAAATAAAAATAATAAAACTATAACTTGGAATACTAATTCTGCTAAGAGTTTCGTCAAAGGTTGAAGAATAAATAAGATTAATAATCAGTGCGAAAGATCCAAACATTTCATCTAATTCATCATTAGTCCAATCACGTGTTTGAGGATTCTTAATTAGTTTCAATAATTTAACTGCTGTAAGACAAGCTTTATCATTTCATTGTACTTCTTTGGGTATATTCTAGAATACTTCATTAATCAGAATTTCGGGTATCATTTCAAGGTGTATTTATCTAAGATTATAGCTCACAATACATTCATGGTCTAAGTCAGTGATAATAATTGTTTCACGAAGGATACAATTAACAGAATACTCTTGAGCAAATTCCTCAAGTTGGTTACCATTCATTCACTTAATAGTAGTTTGCCTAAATTCAGCAGCTTTTAAAAAAATATTATACAAGTATTGTCATCAATCTTGTCCTTTTCCATCGAGAATAGATTCAATTTCTTTTTTACTGAAGTTAAATTCTGATTCACTATTATCTTCTACTTATTCAGGTGGTTATTCATTTTCTGCTTCCTCTTCATGTTTAGATATTCATAATATTCATATTTATTACATTAGTAAATAGTATGTTGTGTTGGCGAAGATATGTAATTTCCATATGGATTAGCACATTTAGAGCTTTAATGAGTTGAGTCGAATCGAGTTTTAAAGATAACTCAACTAAACTCAAAAATTTGAGTCAAGTCAAGTTGAGTTAAAAAATTTTAAAACTCTAGCTCAACTCAACTCGAGTTATACTTAAATTTGACTCAATTCAACTTGAGTCAAATAAAAACCTCATAAATATATTTGCTGATTATATAAATAATAAAATAATAAAATTATATTAATGTTTTGAAGGCTATTATCTAATAATCTACTGATCAGAATTTTGTGAAATCTGCATCATCGTATTCACCGAGATGTGCTTATTAAAAAAAATGTGTTATATTTCTAACGAATCACTGAACACTGAGATATTCAAGAAAACGTGTTTAAAATATTATTTTAAGCTTCGTAACTGGTATATGCCAAATATGAATAAGGTTACACTAATATATAAAAGGAAATTTTTGGCTGTTGAAAAATTGGAAAATCACTAAACATGTTACACAAAATTCCTAAAATAATAACTCGTATAATGAAATGAGTTGAGTCAATTTATTGACTCAACTCGACTAATGACTTAACTCAAATCAAATGAGTTGTAAGATTTTTGATTTGATTCGACTCAAATTCAAGTCAACTCATTTGACTTATGAGTCAACTCGACTTATTAGAAGCTGATACTTTCTGATATTGTGCAATCCATTCCATTGCCATTTCATTTAACATCCAGAAATATTCAAGTCAAAAAAATGTACTTGAATCTATCTATTATTTTCTTCCAAGTCTTCATCATATTTAGGTGATAAAACATTTCCTTGGATTTTTCTTTTTGTATCTACAAAATTTTCTTTGCTAACAATTGAGAGTATAAAACATTTAATTACTTCATCTGAGCTTTTATCATTTTTATAATTAATCCTTGATAATACGTCAGCATTTGCATTATTTTTTCAAATCGATGCTAAACTTGAAATGTATATTACTGTAAATTCAACAACCATCTTACTCTTTTTGTTCTATTTTTTACAGTAGAAGTTTGTAACCATTTTAAAGCAGCGTTATCAGTTACTAAGATAAAAATTTTAAATGAAGAAAGTGATGAAAATATTCGACTGTCCAAATAATCGCCAGGTATTCTAACTCTTGTGTTGTTAGCCAGTGGGCTGGAAATAAAACTTAGACGATATAATTCAGTCCATCGAATTAATCACAATAACTTTATCACAATCACGCCTGTATGAAGACACGGCAAAAGGTAATAGTAAATGAATAACA